TCCACTTATTAGTTAATGATATATGTTAGCAACAACGACATCAGGGTAACGGTGGCGACAACCTTTTGGGTTCTCATCAATCACAGGTATAACACCATCGAGATTCCTCAACTCTCAAGTCTGGTATAAACCCCACCATATGGCATTGTATCTCCAACTATGTTTATTACGAATTTTGACCAATAAACTATGACAATACTCTTCACCTTACAACAGTAATACCAGTTTAGAACTGTGGTTAAAATGATTGCCTTACGCTGCCATTCTTATCCCAAATCCAATATGAGCCACACCGTATATTAACAACCCAGGTAATAGGAGGAGATAACAATTCATATAATAAGTGAATCTATAGAAATCCAGCAGCGGCTGAGATGACTACCTCTACCTGGTCTACCAACTCGACCCTGGATCTAGATTCCTGTTAGTCACTGCATCGGTGCACTTGTTTCATCTAGGGACATTATTTGGCCATATAAGACAGATGAATTACGACAAACCAATAAACATTTAGACTGTGTCAAAGATGCCTTGCTCATGCCATTCCCAAGTCTACATATGACCTCAACGTATATTAATTCCCAAGTCAAAAGGAAGAAACACAACTATTAGTGAATCTACTAGTAAATCCAGCAGCAGGCTGAGATGAGCTACCGTCTACCTGGTCTACCAACTCGACCCTGGCACACAGTTCTCTGTTAGATCCCTGTAATCGGCCACTCTGTCTTCATCAAAGGGACATAAATTTCACTCCACGGGTCTCAAAGGTGAATGACTGCAACACCCTCAAAATGACATCCCCGGCAGTGCCTTTGATGTCAATGTGATCCAGGCGGTTCTTAGGATGAGTGGAGCCTCGTATTGAGTCCCGCTGGGCAAGCTCAAACATGGAGCACATCACACACTTTGAATTTATACATTTCACAATACGACGCTGATTAAGTATCCTCCAAAGGGACACAAGTTCGTTTTTCCGCCATCCAATGTTTAGTTTGTAACTCGAGAATATCTAATTCCACCGCCTTCAGATGCTGATGTGCTGTAACTAGGGAATGGTTCGTGCAACTATAGGTCAAATTTATATAGATCATTCCTGATATTCGAAAAATCCTCTTCTGGTCGGTTTCAAACTGTCAACACTGGCGTATCCTAATTAGGTTAAGTTATGGATGATCATGGTTAGCAAGTTAGCCTAGGATTAGGTTAGGTAAGATTTGTCATGAAAGAAGACAAGTGTTTCCTGATGCAGGGTCTTAGTCATATGATGATCCGCAGCTGGAGCTTTTGGTCAACTGACCGAGGCCTTCCACTGGCTTACCCCTTCACCCCCTTTAAAAATCACGTCCACGATTAAAAGCATTTTTCATGGTTGATGCATCATATGGACATGGTGGTACCCAACAAGGAAGTGTAGCTACAAATTTGCCGATTTACTAACACAGTCAATCTGGAATTGCTGGATTCTGTGCGGTAACTGAAGAATGCGTTTACTGGTCGGCTTCAAACTTTCGGTACTAGCGTGTTTTCCTCAAAGGAAGCTGTACACTGAGGTTGTGCTGTGTAAGTTTTAATTATTAATATTTATAATAAGAAGAAATAATAATAATTTGTCTATCCTGTGCCACGAGAGACTACGCTAAGCAGCTGGGGGGGGGGGGGGTCGTAAGCGCCCTCAATGACCCTGCCTTGTTTACCGAAGATCTTTTAAGCAAACAAATCCAACGTATATTAATTCTGGCTCTAACTTCGCGAAAATAAGCTTCCACGAACATGAGTACAATTCACTGATGTTACCTATCTTGCTTGACCAGTTTTAATATCCAGCCCAAAGCCGATATCTTTCAAATATTTGAAATTATTATTATTAATATGTACACACTAACCCCGCATGGGTCATGCAAAGCTGCTAATTGTTAAACCATAAGGTAAATGCAAATTTCCAATTCTCCTGTACGCTAACATCAATAAGAATGAAGAATACGCCACAATACTGTCCGTGGAACAATACCATAGCCCGAGCAATATTATAGTTGGAACACCATAACCGACACAATACCATGGCTGACACAATAACCACAACTGGAACAATACCATAGCTCGAACAATGACTGCAACAAAACTATGGCTGAAGTAATACCATAGCTAGGACAATATTATGACTGCAACAACACCAAAGCTGGAACAACACAGAAATAAAAGCATTTTGTAGATGAAAGCTACATACGACGTGTCTGTCTTGGACCATTATCGTGTTACAAATGAATGAGAAAAATGGAGAGAAGACTAGAAGACAGGTCAATTTTTAAACAAGTTAATCATTTTAAAAGTTTAAACAAACCTGTCTACCTCAGTAGCCCAAGAACCGTATTTTTTCCAGAGTTTCGATGGTTGATGATAATTCCATGGGGAAGTGGAACAGAATTCTTCCTCCGTAAGCCATTCGTGTCCTAAGCGGCGACTAAAATGCCGGGAGCAAGGTGCTAGTAACCCCTTCTCCTGTATACATAGCTAAATTTAAAAAGAGAAACTTTCGTTTTTCTTTTAAGGTCACCCTGCCTCGGTGGGATACGGCCGATTCGTTGAAAAAAATAATAACAGCTAATAATACTAATTTAAATATATACGTATTCTCTTTGGACTGATTTTGAGAGTTCTAACCCGTAGTCTAGCCTGAGGGCAGACTATTCTTGACTACCTGGTAAACCAGGCTGTTCTTGCTAGCGGCAGGCAGGCCTAAAAAGCCATCAGATTCTGGGGCTGGAGATAAACATGGAGTTTTTTTTTTTTAAGCTGAGTACTGGTGCTGTGACGGTGGTACTAGGATGGGGAGGAGGGGGAGTGATGGTCGGTGCTATCATCTGTTATCATCTCACTAATGACTTAATTATCACACCTGCGATATACCTGTATACCTGTTACCCATTTCGAGGGTTTTTCTACCTTACCAGTTCAGCTTTTGGTCAAGCTTCCTTGTTGGATTAGGCTGTTCCTATTAGCGGTCCACTGGCCCTCATAGCCTAGTTGATCTGGCGCTTGACAGAGGCAATAACTCAGACTGCATTTGTTCCAGCAATACTGTGATATCTACTGGTACCAGGTTACTTTTACCTTTGAGGAGTTTCGAGAGTCTTGAGCTAAGTATATTAGCACAGTGTTCCATTAATGTGTCCACGGCGCCCTTGCTTTGCAATGGATCTATTTTCCCTTTCTTCTATACCTCTCAATCCACTAAGTTGTAGTATCACCTGGTTTTCCAATATTTCCCAGGAGCATATTATCAGGTATTTCTCCGTGTTCTTTGCTGCAGAGAGCATTTTAAGTACTGTGAGGCGTTTCCAGTTATCTAAATGCTTTGACTATGTGGACAGTAAACAATCTCTACATTTTCCAGCTCTAGCTCCTGCCTTGAAGCATAGAACACTTGACGTTCTAGTACAAGTGATTTAAATACTGTAGTATCATGGACATTGTTATGGAAGTTCTCACTATCCATCACATCCTTTTTCTGGACTGTTCTTGCAGTATCTGACATTATTATTTCTAGGTCGTTTTTACTTGTTTCTTACACTGTAATAGATGGTGTGCCTGCGTTCTGTTATTCTTCAGCCATCCCACCCAGCTCACCTTTATCTCTCTCAATGAATGGCGACATCTCTTTAGCGATAACGTGTGCCGATGTTCCCAACTCCAGTTTACTACGTGATGCATCACCACGCACTCGCTCACGCACTCAGCCCAGGAACTCACTGTGGTGAATTCCTCTTTGTAAAATATATATATCCAATGTACAAACGTGAGGTATTCGCCACAACACATGAACTCTTAGTCGCACACACTCGGTCACCCATGCACTCACACTCACCCACACACACTTATCAATGAAGTCAGTCACGCACTCGTCCACACACGCTCTCATCCATACGTACTCATGGTTATGAAACTGCCTACATATGCACCACAGCCCGGCTGGTCAGGAACTGAACTGAACTCACCAACTTCTCTCTTGAAGACAGCTAGAGATTTGTTGGTAAACTTAACAAACTCTACACACAGCTTCAATAGTAGACAGAAATCACTGAAGCCGCTTGATAAGAGTTAAGAGGCGGGATCGGGAGCTACGAATTGCCTCCTACAAACAATAGGTGATTACCCACACAAAATACAAACACTGCCGCCACTCCCCTTCACCAAACATTAACACTACACACGCCACCACACCACCAACTACCACCACACTAACAACAACCTGCACACTAACACCGATCAAGCCACCACCACTCTACTCATCCACATCTAATAACTACATTAAGGTCATTAGTTAGCCAAACTTTTGCTCTAAAGTCGCTGCGCAACTCCAGGAATGTGGTTCTCTTTAACGATAAGAATATCTGTGTATATCTGCCTGTTTGTCTGTCCATGTATGTTTGTCAATGTCAATCTCTGACAAGCAGAATAGGCAGCACGGTGTCACCATCGTGACAAACACGGCGCCGTGGTTGTAGCATGCGAGACACATGTTTGTGGTGCTCCGCGCTTCTCTTTAATCTGCAACATTCCTCGGCACACCGGTATAAAGACCGCCCGCCCACAAAAACACAGAAGTGTAAATGTTTTAAGCAGGTCATTCATTCATGTGTGTGTTTGGTGTGTTCAATCGATGAGCACCGCTAGTGTGTGTGTGTGTGTGTGTGTGTGTGTGTGTGTGTGTGTGTGTGTGTGTGTGTGTGTGTGTGTGTGTGTGTGTGTGTGTGTGTGCGCGCTGAATACTTGCTTGACTGTCAAATCTTACATATGCCCCCTGAGTTTGTTATTTACCTCTGGTGATATGTTTGGAGTGATGTTAACCCCCAGATCATTTTCTTCTATTTATATTTGTAGCTTCTCGCCTCCTAGGTTATGCTTCATTTCCAGTCTTCCCTCATAATCTCCAGATCACATGACATTCGCTAGTAAGTACGACATTCTTCAAGTGACCATGTAAGCCTAACCAGCATACATACCTCAACATAAGTGCCCGAAGCTATGTGACTGCGGGAGTTAGCGGCGTGTGTGTGGGCGTGTGGTGTGGGCGTGGGTGCAGGCGTGGGCAAAAGGTCGTCCTCGCAGGCTCGAACTAACGTTTCCGTATCTGACCGTCCACAACCCTCCTCTTGAGCCATCACTGTCACAGAGAAAAATGAAACAGCTGTTATTGTTTACTGCTGGCCAGTAACAAGAGACCTTATTACCATAAAGACAAGAACTCTTGCAAAACATCAGCTGTTTATTATTATTATTATTTAGTCCCTTCCAAATATATTCATAAAACAAATGGACTAAGATAACTGAAAGTTCTTACTCAATATCATATCTTTAACTCGTATACCCAGTCGTATCACAGCAATATATATATTATATTATGTAAATCAGGTTAGAAACAAAGAAATTTACAGGCTCAAATACATTATATATGAAACATACGCCTGGCAGGGAAGTAGAGCCCACGACAACATACGCCTGGCAGAGAAGAGCACAAACATCATACGAGAGGCAGCAAAGTAGAATAAAAATGCGTCATACGCCTTTCAGTGAAGTGGGCAATATATTATACACCAGGTAGCCACGACGTTGAACACAATTCATCGGGCATTAGGCAGCGAAGTGAAGCGCAACACATACGTCTGGCAAAGAAGCAAAACGGAATACATCACGACTGACAACGAAGCCTTATCATATGCCTTGTAGAAAAGTGGAATACATTATACCTCTGGCAACACAAGTGGAAAACAATGGATTACACGCCTAGCAACAAAGTGGAACACAATACATTATACGCTCGGCAGCAAAGTGGAAGCCCAATACATCATACGACTGGCAGGGAAGTGGAAGCACAATACATCATACGCCTGACAGCGAAGCCGAAAACAATACATCATACACCTGGCAGAGAAGTGGAGTACAAGAGGCTGAAGATTTATCCAAGATTGTCTGGCGCACAACACGCTAAGGAACGATCACCGTACAATGTGCACCATTACTGCACACTTTCCTTAAACGCCGCCCCTGATTTTATTTGTGAACGCTTTCCTGAGTTTTTTTTTTTACTCTCCTGGTTTACCTGGAGACCGCCTGGTCAGTATGGCTGTTGGTATCTGCGGCCCGCACGTCAGGTCGCTCCTACCGTACGTCAGGACGCCCCTGTAGCCTGTACCTCAGGCACTCCTGCGGTCCGCACGTCAGGTGCTCGTACCGTACGTCAGACGCCCCTGTAGCCTGTACCTCAGCACTCCTGCGGTCCGCACGTCAGGTGCTCGTACCGTACGTCAGACGCCCCTGTAGCCTGTACCTCAGGCACTCCTGCGGTCCGCACGTCAGGCGCTCCTACCGTACGTCAGACGCCCCTGTAGCCTGTACCTCAGGTACTCCTGCGGTCCGCACGTCAGGTGCTCGTACCGTACGTCAGACGCCCCTGTAGCCTGTACCTCAGGCACTGGACCCAGGTGCGGTCCGCACTGTCTCGGATCGGGCACGTACGCAAGACGTTCCTGTAGCCCTTATGTCAGACGTTCCTGCGGACAGTACGTCAGGCGCTCCTACGGCCCGTACGTCAGGCGTTCCTACACGAATTTTAAGCTTCCTAGCGAAGAATTCCGTCTTTGCTCCCGCAACATTGCTTATATTCCCTCTTACAAGATTAATGTTGTGAAATTTAGATGTTGACAGTGTTCTCAATGTTATTATTCAACTCATAAACATGTTACACCGTTCGTTTACATACGCATTACCCAGCGTCAATATATAATTGCTGTGAACGTTCGGAAATTGACAGGGAAAGTCGCGTAAGAAAACAACGGACATATAATGAAGCAACATCTTACCACGTACGAAAAACGTGCAAATTTTAACGGTCCGTATATTCGTGGAAACTCATGGCGCCCTTTTTTTCGTAATTTGCTCATTAAAATGTAACTTTCTGTTCGCATAGAACGTTCAGAAATGAACTACCTATCAGTAGGTAACTTGGACCTGCCTAGCATGGGTCAGTATGTTCTTATGTGACTTGGATTTGCGTAGCATGGGCCTGTATGTGATTTTGACCTGCCTAGCATGGAACAGTATGTGACTTCGACCTGCCTAGCATGGGCCAGTAGGTGACTTTGACCTGCCCAGCATGGGCCAGTATGTGAATTGGACCTGCTTAGCATGGGCTAGTATGTGACTTCGACCTACCTAGTATGTGACCTGAACCTGCCTAGCATGGGCCAATAGGTGACTTCGACCTGTCTAGCATGAGCCAGTAGGCCTGCTGTAGTGCTCCTTATGTTATCATGGTTACAAGGGAATCATCGCCTCCGCAGCCCGACCCAGGTCTCCTAGTTGGCCCAATCACTCCGGCTGTTGGTGTCAGCAGCACGCAGCACAATGTCATTAAACACACGACTACCCGATACCATTACCCTTGCCGTGTCGTGACGGGGACACATTCAGCTGTGGTTTATGTGTATTTTGCAGTGACATGCGCATTCCACAGAGGACACTTTACACTTTAATTAAGAGTGATATTATGTACGTGTGTAATGGCTAACCCTTTTTTTAGTTTCTCTTTGTGTGTTCTTGGTGGCATAGTGGTGGAGAATGTGGGATGAATCAGCGGTGGAGGACGAGAAAGGAAGGTGGAGGAAAGACAGGGAGGAGGAGGAAAGGCATGGTGGGGGGGGAGGAGGATGAGGTGAGGGAGGGAGAAGTGGACGACACGAATTAAAAACGCACAAACCGCAGTAACAATTGTTTACAGAACATTAAAAGCTGAGAACCTTAAATTCTGAGGACGAAGCACAAAGTGCTACTCCACACACACGAGATAGATAGATAGATTGATAGATAGATAGAGAGAGAGAGAGAGAGAAATTGCCTAATTTATAAAGTTTTCGGGTTAGGTAATTTGCTGAATACCCTCGTCCCGAATACAAGCGAATATTCGTCCAGAATATCGCCGTCGCAAATCCACCAGCCGAATATCGTCCCGTATATCGCTACACTGAATACACCAAGAAAATATCGATCGGAAATACGCAAGATGGAACACTTGCCTTAAATACCGCGGCGTGAAATACCAAGAATATCGGTGGCGTATACTGCAGCCCTGGGAGGCGCGGCAACACCAGCCAGTTTTTACACAAGCGGCGCACCGCACCCAGCCTGCAATTATTACACCTCTGCCCAAGCATTTCCACACATTCTTCTCCATTGAGAGGCTACACTTATTAAAAAAAATTCGATGTACGTTGAATTTGCTAGCACCTGGAGTCTTACCTTCCACATGAAGATTGTTAGTAGAGAGAGAGAGAGAGAGAGAGAGAGAGAGAGAGAGAGAGAGAGAGAGAGAGAGAGAGAGAGAGAGAGAGAGAGAGAGAGAGAGAGAGAGAGACAGAGAGAGAGAGAGACAGAAACAGAGAGAATTATATTCATGTGTATGACTAAGCCTGTAGGAGGAGATAATCGGGTTTGGTCCACGCGTTTCCACGCCGGTAGGCTGATCCTGGGCTAGACGTTTTTTGGTGGTTGCTTGGTCAAGCATGCTGTTACTGCTTGCGACCCACTGGCCCATATATTCATCACAGCCAGCCTGGCTGATCCCCTCCCTCACTTATCCCTTAACACGTGCTTGTCCTCATCCCTGGTTACCTGTACCAGTGGTCCGTATTACGAAAAAATAATCCGCACAACTTGGCCCATTTAGTCACTCCTCCTCTCGCCTATGTGCTAGTTATTTGTGTATTGTTCCAGTCACTGTACTACCAGTTTGTTATTTAACATGCAAATTGTACACACACAGACACAGCAACAAGTGGTCACAATTGGAAGTTGAAGACTCAGATGAATCATAGGGATGTTACGAAGTATTTCTTCAGTCACAGAGTTGTCAGGAAGTGGAACAGGTTGGGGAGTGATGTAGTGGAGGCAGGATCCATAAATAGCTTTAAGAAGAGGTATGATAAAGTTCATGGAGCAGGAAGAGTGACCTAGTTGCGACCAACAAAGAGGTGGGGCCAGGAGCTGTGAATCGACCCTTGCAACCACAACTACGTGAGTACACACACACACACGCTTGATTGCTTATACCAGGTGCCAAATCAGCCAGGCTGTGATGGGCACGTGGGGCAGCGGGCCACCTGCGACAACCTAGTTGACCAGACTAGCACCAGACGAACCTGGCTCAGGGCCCAAACCCCCGGGAGTAAAAAAAACTTTTTTTTGGAACTTATAAAAGGTTTTAAAGGAAAATGAAAACCCGGGGGGAGTAACCCCGCAAGGCTCCCCCCCATGAAGATCTCTTGATCCTGGGAAAACTGGTTTAAATAGATCAAATTTACTCACCCCTTACACTGCTGAGTGTCCTCAGTCACTCAGCGTTACCTTTTAAACCTCATTATTTCATCGCATTGCCCAAATTTTGGGAATCTTGTGGGATTTTTGCTGACAACCATTGTCTGCCCTAGGGGAAAAACGGCGGGCCACAGTTTTTCTAAATTACAAACAGGCACACAGGTGTGTGTTATTTCACCTGTTGGGGTTTTTGCAGGGGTCCGATTCACACTCCGGGCCCTATGTGTGTGTTGTATCACCTACTCCCCTTTATTGGGGTGTACGAAGGGGTATATAATCCCAAACAAGATGAGATTAAGAAACAAAGTGCAAAAATTTTTGCAACAGATGGCACTGGTCTTAATCTCATCTTGTCGGTATTTTATACCATTCGACCAACTTGTCAGACACTGCAACATCATGGGGAAACCCTTTAAATTTTGAGGCATGTCCAATTAAAAATACCCAGAGGAAGTTTCAACCTTTTCTTTAAACTTTACCTATTTTTGGGTTTCAAAGGGGTTTGAGTCAAACTCCTGGGCCCCCCCCTTTTCGCCCGATTGCTACTAGGTCCTCTCTCTCCCTTCCCCATGAGCTTTAAAACAACCTTTGCCTTAAAAATATGTATGGGTTCCCGCCTCCACTACGTCCCCTTTCTAGGCCCATTCCCAGCCCGACAAATCTAAGACTAAGAAAAACTTCCTAACTCCCCGTGATTCTCTGAGTTTTTCAACTTTCCCAAATTTTGACCCCTTGTGTCTGTTCCCTTCTCTGGAACATCCCCGTCTTTTTCCCCCCTTGTTTTATTCCGCGCAG